ATTTGTTTTTTTATTTGATGGCTTTGCACCATAGAGTGAGCTATACTTTTTACATATTTTCACCCCATGTGTTTGTTTTAAGATCTATTTACATTGGTATATGTATATCTCATTCATTGTTTCTAGCTGCTACATAGTATTCCATGTTGTGTATCTACCACATTTCATTATAAGATGCCCTAGAGATAGACGCCACTGTTGCCTCAAAACTCTTGACTATGCAAACAAAATGATGATTATCCTTGCTCGCTACCCTTATAGACATATTTGTGAGTCTTGCTGCAATATAAATGCAGAAATGAGCTTGTTGGATCATAATTTATCTGAGTACTAGCAGGTTACTATTCATCGAATTGTTACCATTTATGAAATTGTTACCAGAGTATGCGACCCTTAGTAATGCAGTGGCTCTTCATTTATCCACATAGTTCTCAGCATTTGGTGTTTCTGTACTTTATGTTTTGCCAATCTGAGAAATATGAAATGGTATGCCATCATTTCAGTTTTCATTAAACTGATTATCAGTGAGTTTAAGTCTCTCTGGTTTTCCTTCTTTTTCTAAATGATGTACCCAAGTTTCTATACATATAGAAATAAAATCTTTTGACTTGTTTAGACTCTGTTATAGTCTCTTGGTTTTATATTTTCTATTAATCTTGTTCAACTTCAATTTTCATGTAATTGAATATGCCACCTTTTTGCCTTATTGTTTTGATTTTGGGCCTCATGTTTCAGAATCCCTTCTGTGCTCCTAGGTCTATAAAGATACTCTCTTACATTTTCTTTAATTTCATTTCAGTCTTTACTTTCCCAGCTAGGTCTTTAACTCTTCTGACGTTTACTTTTGAATACCATGCCTTACTCTATTTGATATGGTGAGCTACTTTTTCCATTGAATCCTTATAATAATTTTGTACATTATCAAATTCAAAATACATGTCATGAATAAGATGATCTTTTAAGCACAATACAATTTTAAAATAAGCAGTGATTATCTGTTTCTACACATTGATAACATCTATGATTTTTCAGGTATCATTTGTATGTGTTTGCTAGATATTTATATATTTTATTAGCTGGGATGATCTTGTGAAGCCCAATGGCACCAGTAGTGGCGGTGAGAAGGCACGTGGCTAATATAATCCAAAAATGTCAAAGCTTGTGGATTTATGGTTTATTGCTGGGAAAAAAATACAGTAGAACAATGACATTAAAGTAAGTCTATATCCCAGCCAAAGGCTGCCTCACAACGAGGCGTCTGGAGAAGCTGATTCCAATTGTCCTCCCTCTGCAGAGCTGTACTGGAATGCACTTTTTCTCTCCAGTCAGGAATGACTGATGTGTACATCTAACATCCAGGAATCAGGAGTCTGGGCTGACCTTTTATTTCATACTGGTAACATAGGTATCTTTTTGCAGTGTAATCAATAATGAAGCCTTTTAGGAATCTCAGCAACAACAGGTGCAAATCATCAATCTCACCATTTACCGAAAATAATGTTGATAAGTCAGTACATCTTAGACTCATGTTTCCTCAGACCCATATTTACAAAGCAGCGTTGTAAATCCGATGTTGCCCGCTTTAAATGAGGAAAGTGCTGTGCAGATACTTGAGTAAAAAAGCTCAAGTGAACCTTGTGGAGAACTTTTTAAGACTGTGGATGGCTTTCTGAGGCCTCCAAGTGACCTCAGCATTGGTCTCCTGCAACCTCTTTCCCCATTCCTTCACATCAAGTAAAGCAGATATTGCCAAGATGCTTAAACAGAGATGGCAGCGGGTGTTGGTGAGTGCTGTTGGGATGTCTCAAGCTGTCAGTATGCTAAGATAGTGACTTTAACAAGAGCAGTCATCTTGCAGTCAGCATGCGCTTGAGGTTCAAGCCTGCCCATGTGGCATCATGTTTGTTGCCCACAACCCCCTCTGCATTTGCTTTTGCTTCCTCCTTTAAATAAAAAAAAGCACTTAAGTATGTTTCCTGAAGGCTAAGCAGGATGTGTTTTTGTTTTTTGAGACAGAGTCTTGCTCTGTCACCAGGCTGGAGTGCAGTGGCACGTTCTTGGCTCACTGCAATGTCTGCCTCCTGGGCTCAAGCAGTTCTCCTGCCTCAGCCTCCCAAGTAGCTGGGATAACAGGCACGCGCCACCATGCCCAGCTAATTTTTTTGTATTTCTAGTAGAGATGGGGTTTCATCATGTTGGCCAGGCTGGTCTCGATCTCCTGACCTTGTGATCTGCTCACCTCGACCTCCTAAAGTGTTAGGATTACAGGCGTGAGCCACCGCACCTGGCCGGGATGTGTTTTTTAACTGATTACTGGATGGTTTTGTATTTCTTGGAGGGAATGTTTACATAAAAACCATGCCCAGTACAACCTTGGAGGAACATTGGGAAACCACAACTGGCTTAATCTTGGAAAAACTTGTCTAAACATTTTAGTTCATTGAGTTTTTTTTTTTTTTTTTTGCTGTTGTTTATTGAATATTTGGTAGGTACATACATTGTAATATGCAAATTTAAATATATTATTTTATTTCATCTTCATAAAATCTCAGTGAATTAGATATTTTTATTACCCTACACTACAAATATATAAAATGAAGATCAGAGAAATTAAATAATACATAACTATCAAGGAGAAATCTAGGATTTGAAGTTTGGCAGTTGTGTGATTTCTGAGCATGAAATCTTGTTTTTTGCATAGTACTTGGTGGAGGACATACTTTGCAGAGGGAGCAACATATGAAAACCTGGAATGGCAGAAGGAATTCTAGAATCTCCAGATATTTCCTCATGACTGTTGCTTAGGGTGTGAACATAAGCATGGGGTGGCAAAGCTATAAAAAGATGATAAGGGAAGAACTGAGAACCTCATAATTGATTCTTAGGTAAAGCACCATCATTAAAAAGTCTTCAGAAATAAATACATAAATAGATTTGAATTTTCATAAAAACATTTTTAAAGTCTCTAGTAGATTTATGGTGGATAAATAAATTCTAAGATAGAAGCTGAGTAGAATAATTCTGTGATGATGCAAGAGATGATGAACATAAACTACACCATTAGCAGTGAGTAGGAAGAACTTGGGGCATTTGAGGACATCTGAGAGATGTGAAAGGAGAGGAAATGCATGAGGCTTGAATCCTGATTGACTGGTGCTGTGGGGGGAGGTGGTAAGGTAAAGGAAAGATTGAAGATGTCTCTAAGATTTCCTGCTTAGAAAGCTTGGGGGCTGGGTAGTTGGGTGATTATAGTTTTCTTCATTAGGAATTTAGAAGGAGTGAGTATGGGAGGGAAAAAGTGGGTTCACTCGGAAATGTCTTGTATACACTAGAGGTGTCTGTGAGCACGAAGGTAGAAATATCCAGGAGACATTTTATATGTGGCTTTGAATCTCCATAGCATCTAACCTAGAGATATAGATACGGGCCTGGACTCTACCCTAGACCAACTAAATCTGTCCCTGGGGATTGGCCCATATGTTTTCCATTGAATCAGTTTTATACTGGACAACTTAAAAGAAGGATATTGGGGAATATGTAAGTAAGCAAGAAGAGGTAGCATACGACAATATTTTTTATTGTGGAGAGTGAAAAATTAATGATTTAAAAGCCTATAAAGGACGAATTTGGTTCTAACATTTCGAGGTCATAAACATTTTATCATAATTTAGTATTTAATTGTGTGTATGTTTATTTCTTTCTGAATCCCATTAGAGAGGCATGCTGAAATGACCAATACATCTTTTTGGGGATTATTTTAATATATGTTATTTTATCCCCTCAAGATAAAATAACATATATTAACTCTATAGAAAGTATTCAGATCTCCAATGAAAGAAGTCTATTTTTGGTGAGTTTGAAAAATGGTGTGCTTAGTGTCAAGAGATTTGACTTTGCTACTTGCTTTGGTCAAATTAGTTGACAGTTTTGGAGTTCAAATCAGTCTTATAAATTTAAGCAGCTACCATGTACATGGAAGTCTGCCAGCAGGTTAGGGAATCCTGAGACATGTGCAATGCTTCCTCTTCTCTTAAGGAAGTTTTACTCTAGGGGTGTAATTGAATTGGGCATAATCTTTGATGAAACAGAATAAGATAAGTGTAATAACAAGGAGTTTCAGAGTGTTTTACAATTTCAAAGAAAAAAGAAAACCGTTTCATGGGGAGATCAGGAGAGAAAGCTGTCAAGGGATGAGGACATTTATTGGGTATATACCAGGTGCTAGGTTTCTTTCCAAATAATATTCTAAAATTTTGGAACACTCTATCTAAAAAAAAAAAAAAAGTACCGCCTGACACATATGAGTTTAGTTTTAATTAACTAGTTAAATAGAGCCACGTGACATAAGGTCTAACATTAAGGCCCTTGCATAATAGAGGGCCTTAATATTAGACCTTATGTCACATGGCTCAATTTAACTAAAAGGAAACTTGTAATTCAGCAAATAGCTGAAATAGCTGAATTGCAAGTTTCCTTTCTACACTGGTTGTACGCATAAGCTTCCCTCACCAAATAACCCTATTTGTCAAGAGAATCATAAACAGTTCCTGCTTATCTCTGAACAGGGGGTTTCTTTCTTTCTTTCTGAGATGCTGTTTTGCTCTTGTTGCCCAGGCTGGAGTGCAATGGCGTGATCTCAGCTCACTGCAACCTCTGCCTCCCGAGTTCAAGCGATTCTCCTGCCTCAGCCTATCAAGTAGCTAGGATTACAGGCGTGTGCCACCATGCCTGGCTAATTTTATATTTATAGTAGAGATGGGGTTCTGCCATGTTGGTCAGGCTGGTCTCAAATTCCTGACCTCAGGTAATCCACCTGCTTTGGACTTCCAGTGTTGGGATCACAGGTGTGAGCCACTGCACCTGGCCTGAACAATGGGTTTCTGTTCCCTGCCAGGCCACAGAATTATTCAACCAAGCCAAATACATCATTTCATGGTAACCTAGGAGTACACCATTGTCTCCATACTGCAAACCTGCCTCATACAGTCCCTGTTGGTTCACTGTGCTCTTCCGTGTAACCCCTGTGTGGTCCTGGGTAGTGTGTGATGTCCTCCTGCTCTGGGCTGTGAGTGTTTGTGACTAATAAACTACTGTCCTCTGTCCAGTGTTGTGTGTTAGGGTGAGGTCCCTCTTTCACTAATGGGGTGAATAGGAGGTGATTAAAACAAGTCATGAGTAACTCTCTAACCCAAATTTCGTAATTTAACAATCACTTAAGAACCATTCAATATTTTCTTGATCAAAAAATACAAAAAACAAGAAGTGAACTCCTCAGCTTAGCATGTAAGAAACTACAATGTCAGTCTGTGCCTACCACTCCAACATTATTTTCCACAACTGGGAGCTACTCCCCATTCATTCTAGAACATTTTCATTGTTTTGTAACTCTCTATGTTGTCACAAATAGGTAAGGCTTTGCTCTTTGTTGTTTCTTACATCTGGAAAAATACTTAATCTCTTGTCTAAAATCCTAAAAATACCAACTCAGCATCTCCTGTACTATGAAACTTTCCTACACACCCCTCCAAGAAGCGATGTTTGTGTTTCCTTTATGTTCTCACTGCACTGTTGACATAAATCCATTAAAGCACATATTGCTCTATATTGCAACTATTTGTTCATGCATACTTTTCTGCTGTATTAGTCCATAACCAGCTTGAGAACAGGGTCCTGTTCTTACTAATCTTTATATTTATGGAACCTACCATAGTGACTATCTTCTGAAAGGTGATATCAGTGTTTCAAAATTCCACCACAAAAAATGCTGTTGAATGAATGAATGGATCATTGTGTAATTGTGTCTAGCTAACATGAGTTTTATAGCTACAAAACTCACTTGGCAAATATGGCTTGATTTCTGCTTTTCTTCCTTAACCCCTCTGTTGAGCTACGTAGTATAAGGCTTAAGAATTATCCAGGTATGGGAAACTCAGATCCTCAGTCATTTCATGGAATCTGTTGGCCACCACTCAGCTGCTATTGATTTGGTTCCTTTGAGTGTGTCATCTGCTTTCTGCTTCTTGTGCCTTCTCAGCAGCCAAGAACTCTCTGGCTGATTTCTCTGCACACCTCCAGGTTATGCAGCCTCCATGAGCATTTCCTTGGGCACCACACTCATCCTGCCTATACTGCCATTCTGAAACCATGCTTTCAGTCTTTTTGAGCTATGCCCTGGGAGACAAAACACATTTTCTATCTGCACTGGGACCACTTAAACTTATCTTGAGTTTGTCTCACTTGTATTCCACAGTCTAAAGATTCTCTCTATCACTTTGGATACTCATTTTAAAGTCACGGTAAACTCTACCTCTTCAGATATTTCCTAAAGGGAAGATGTCATATTCTCACTTCCATGGGAAGAGATGTCTTCTTCTAAACTTCTAGCACCTGTGTATACTTACATATCTATATAGAAAGATATACAGATGACAGATAGCTATAGATGTGTGTACACATTTATACACATTAATGTGTGTATGTGTGTACATGTTTATACTCATTAATGTGTGTATATGTGTATATATACTTATGTGTATGTGTGTGTGTATGTACATATGTACTCTTCATTTTTTTCAACTATATGATGTATTTGTTTTGGCTTTTCAAAGACAGCTTAAGCTTCCCCTCTCTGTTTTTGAAAGATTCTTTAAAAATAAGTAAATATCATGCACAAATGTTATTATTCCTTTAAAGAATTATGTATAATCTAACCATTGTATATTACTTTTGTACCCTTCCATTAACATACCACTGTAAATTAATTTTATAGCTGTTTGGTGAACAATTTCCTGGCAAATGAAAAACAGCAAACTTTACACTAAATCATATTTTCATACCAAGTCAAATTCCACTACAGCAATGACCATTTCTAAATGTCAAAAACTGTTCTTCAGCTTTAGCTATGGCCCACTTACTTTGTATAATACTTAATATTAGAGCATTCTAGTATGACAATAGAATTGGGACAATCCCTGAGAGTTCATGGTAATTAGATTTGCAGCTGGCTTTAAGTCTTTTCAATTTTTTTCTTTTAAAAAATTTAAACACAATGGGGAAATGAATTAAATATTGCATGTCAGTTAGCTCACTTATATTGTAAAACAATCACAATATCAAATTACACATGCCATCCATCCATGGGCTTACTCATCTGTAAGAAAATAGTCTCACGTTCTGTAAAATGAAATCAAACTAAAATATTTAATCTAACAAATTCAATATTTCATAAGCAATAAAAAGTGACATTTCTTTGTCTGAAGAAACACCTAAATGCCTGGATAAAGACATGTACTTCTAGAAAAAGATTGTTTCTTTTGTTTAGATTGTGCCAAGTAGAAATATCATCTCTATTACTGTGAACATTTTTATTATCATGTCTTGACAGGAGTGTTCTGGTTGAGAAAGCACTTTCATTCTAACATTCTTAATCCCTACTGGCTCTAAGTTTCTAAGTAATTTTTAGTTTCAATCCGTAACTTTTTATTTCTTCTTGTTTTGGAAGCTTTGATAAAATTCACTGTGGCCCATTTATGGTTATCGGAGCATAAAAATTAACAAAACTTCATCAGATAAATGCTTTTCCAGGTGCTCTGGGGATAGTAAATGATTTTGGAGAGTCAAACTTCGCTTGGAATATATTTAAAAAAACAATTTCATCAGCAGTAAGACTAACGAAATAAATGAGTGGTTGATTGAGAGTTGGAAGGCATGTAGAATCTGGAACCTGAATAACTTGTTTAAGTGGCCTAATGGGTCAGTTCTATTTGGTGAGTAGGAATGATGAACGATGAGCAGCAGGTTGCTCTGTGGCTGCACAATTGCCCCACTCCTAACATGTGATTTCTACATCTTTAATATCTTGGACACTTAGGCCCCAAGTCTGTTCTTTGTGCAGGTTCTCGCGTCAGAAAGAACAGTGAAATAGGAGAGAGAGGAGATTAGAATGGTATTCAAGACTCAGTCCTCCCTCCTCTACCCACTTTCTATATCTCTCAGAAAAGCCAGAGAGAGAGAAATCTCCATGACTTGTCACTGCTCTGAATCACAGCCATATCTCAAGTTATTTGCCCTGCAGTTTCCTTTGTTCCTCTTTCTTGCCCTGAAATTCCAACAACTGAGATTATCAGAAGGAGCAGCTGTTATTTAAGGTTACAGTTATCATGACTATGGCAGTGCTTTTGGTAGAAAAAGTCAAGTCAGTTCACCAGTGTCAGGGAACAGAGCTACGGAAAGAAGAGCTGCCTCAATGAGCCAGTATTTATTGGATGGCTACTACCCGACTGGTTGAATGAAAATCAAATGATAAAGCAGCTCACCCATAATTCCCATAATTGTGAACACTGTTGGTGCTCTATCAAGACCCCCTCTGGTCCCTTTTACCTGTTCTGTGTGTTCCCCCTTCAGCTTCTGTGTGCTGTGCTTTTCACTGCTCATCCCTACGACCTTCTTAGAGAACTGTCCTCGGGCTAGTGGAGCTGCTTGCTGGCTTGCACAGACAGCAAACCACCTGCTCCAAATCACATGCAAACAGGAGAGAGAAGAGAGCTGTGGCTGCAGCACCCAAGATGTTATGCTCATGAAAATGTTGGCAAGACTGTCTGGAATAATTAGAATAATTTTAGGTGGGATGTGGTAAGATTAGACATTTAATAACATAGCGATATTAAAATGTCTCATTTTATAAACCATGGAGATGTCAGGGACTTTGAAGTTAATTTTGTCCCCATTTTGCTCCTCATTTGTACCTTACTTAGAGAAAGTCACCGCTTTACCATGTGTAACCACTACTTTGTAGTCTTACAGAGTTACCAATTCTACTGCCCTTGAAATTCTATTATCTTTTTTCCTATAAATTAAGCCAAACTTTTAAATCTCTCATCTAGCAACTATTAAATATATTTAGCCAAACTCTTTGTGTTTTGTTATATTTGTTTTTGTCTAATTTTGTTTGAAAGTGGAAAATGGTCTGTCATCATTGTCAGGATAACAATCTTTCATACACTGGAAAACTATTATTATGTTGCTTCCTCTCAAGTTGACAAAATACTTCCCTTCTTCGCTTTCCAACCATTTAATCATCTTGCTGTCTTCCGAGTCTTTTTAAGTTTCTTTTTCTCTTAAGTTTACAGCCCAGAACAACATAATATGTTAAGTGAGTAACCAAAACCTGTGAATATTTGGTGGCTCTGCTGAACATACTGTACATTTACTTTAGGTTTCTTTCTGAAATGTTGCGTTAATGTCTGTGTTTTCAATGCCTCATGAATGAATTAATGAATGAAATCAAGAGCAGTATACTATGGATATACGTTTTGTTGCAAACCTTAAATTTTTTTTCCTGTGTTTCAAAAGACAGCATAGGTAAATTATTTTGTCCTTGGAGTTAGGATGTGGCATGATGGAAGGAGAAGTAACTCTTGCAAAAGGCATTTAAGATGTGGGCTTGACACCACATGTTCTCACGGATAAGTGGGAGTTGAACAATGAGAACATATGGGCACAGGGAGGGGAACATCACACACCAGGGCCTGTTGGGGGGTGGGAGGCTAGGGGAAGGATAGCATTAGGAGAAATGCTTAATGAAGATGATGAGTTAACAGATGCAGTAAACCACCATGGCACATGTATACCTATGTAACAAACGTGCATGTTTTGCCCATGTATCATAGAACTTAAAGTATAATACAAAAAAATTAATAAAATGTAGAAAAAAAGAGACAGGTTTGAATCCTGACTCTGCTATTTTCAGCTGTAGTATCTTGGGCAAATTGCTCAAGCCCATCAATGATACAGTCTCCTTATCAGTGAATTGGGGACTTTGATAGATACTTTGAAAACTGCTTTGAAGATGGAGATGATGCATATTATAACACAGTGGTCAGTAGCCCTTTAATGAATGGCTACTATTAACGTCATAGAGACCTTCAGTTTCAAGGAGAACCCAGTAAGTCTGGATAAAAGGGCCCTGCCAGCTGGTCCGAAGATAGTAAGTTATCTCAATTGATTGTTGACAGTCAGTTACAGATAAAACTCCTTATTCTACTCTTTCCCCCCTTCTCACTACTGCACTTGACTAGTATTTAAAAAAAAAAAAGGGAGGGGGGCCTTGCCTTTCTTGAGAGGTAAGTTTTCTCTGATATGTTCACAACAATGGCTTCTTTTGAGAAGCCTTTGCCTTATAAAGAACTTTCTGATTTCTTGGAGATAAGGTATGATGAAAGGAGGACCCATGTGGAATCAGGAGACCCAAATCTCTATCTTCTTCTGCTGCTAATCATGTCTGTAGCCATCAGCAAATCACTTAACCACTGTGGTCTCCAGTTTCCTCATCAGTAATAAAATGAGGCAGTTGGAACAGAAGACCTTAATGTTCCTTTTAAGATTTTGTTGACTCCAAGAGTCTTTTTGAAGAGCTCCTGGGAGACTAGGGGAAGGTAGTGAAGACAGTTGAGATACAAATATAAAGGAGGATCTTTAGATATAGAAACAGGATAATCTTCTAGAAAGAAAAAAAAAAACCTTACAGTTAAGGGTATACTTAAAAAGAAAAGGAAAAGCATTGATCTTTTAACGTAACTTGGAAATGTAGGTTCTTATCGGATATTTTGTAAAACCCTTTGGCATTAAAATCCTTTATCTGTGTAAATTACATGTTCTTAAGACTGCTTCTAATGGTGCTAAGAGCTCAGAACTTTGACTGAGATAGCATTAGGTTGAAATAAGAAAGAAAAAGATAATATGAAGGTAAGTGAGGTTACAATTGGTTGGGGTCAAGATGGTTAATGACGTCATATTTTTTCCTTTTGTGCTTATGATCTCTACATCACATGCATTTATTTTTCAGGACAGGGATTATTTTCATTATGATTCTGAGATATGTACAGAGAATTACTTCCAGCTGAGACAGGCTTAACAGAGTCCTTGGTCGAGAGAGCATTAAGATACCTAATGTGCTTTATTTCACCTCTGTAAATGAAAAACTAGAGAGAAAGGATGTGGTTTTAGCTCAGTCCAGTATTACACAAGTTTGTTGCCAGAGGAAGTACTGCTATCTAAACAAAAAGGAATTCAGTTTAAGTTTTTCACCTCAAATGACAAATCCATGATATTTGTGCTGCATCCACCCCTGACATTATCACTATGACTCCAACTACCTCGTTTCTCTTTTAGAGCAAATGGCAGAGAAATTGGTAAACATGCCAATAGCTACATTGGTGTAACAGCTGTTATAAAAATGTTGTACATTTTTTGTTACAATACATTTTTTATTCATGATATTGAAAAAATAGAGAATGCATGAAGAAAATAAAAATCACCTATTGGTGATATTTTGGTGAGTATTCTTTTTTTCTGGTTATATACGTGCTTCTTCAAACTGGGATAATACTGTACACATTATTTGACATTTTTAAAGAAATACCTGAGACTATCTAATGAAAAGTTTTCTATGACCTTCCATCTTTTTTGGGAATATGATTTTACAGTTGAAGTAATGGTAGGGGGACAAAAAGAAGAACAGAAATGGTTTGAGATGAGCTGGGAAGGCTCCTTGAGCCTGGTTGTGAATAGTAAGAGCTTTGAATATCATGCTATGCAGAGTAGGATATGAAAAGTTATTAGGTAGCATAAATATTGCGTCATTGATCTACCTCCCTAAAACAGTGTGAATTATATAGATCAGCAGGACAAAGCCTAGGACACCTGAGATTCATTTATTGATCTTAAAGGAAGTACAATGGAGTGGAACAAACACAGGCTTCGGACTCAGACATTGGGGGTTTGAATTCTGGCTCCTATACTCATTAGACATACCATTGGACCAGTTATTTGTTACTTGTAGACTTCAGTTTCCTCATCGGTAAAATGAAGATAATAACATGTAGTTCGCACTGAGGATTAAATGAGATACTGCACGAAACCATACAATTCAGTTCTGGCATGTCTTAGTTTAATTTTGCTATTCTTATTTTTAAAGTTAGGTTTCAGAGGGAAGATTGTTTTCCCAAGAAATAAATTCCATAACATCAGTGAGTCTATGAAGGATTTCATTTCTTAGGAGTGATGACGACTTATTGGTGTAGTTTTAAATTTCCCCTACAAAGAACTGTTAGAGAAATTTGGGGTTGATAATTTTCTATCAGTTTTAGTCACCAATCAAATCTAAAGTAACAAGAATAATAATTCAGGTGGAAATAATAAGAAATTTAAAAAGCCAATGTCTCACATTTCTGTCGCTGTGTATCTTTCCTCAGGGTCGAAGTCCTCGTGCAGATTCACCATCTTCCAGTGCTGTCAGCCCATTCTGCTTTGTTCTTCCCCCTCTTCACTGAGGGTCCCACTGGTCACTCCCTCCTCACCCTGGAGATTTATTGCTAACAAACTATCCTGTGGTCTCAGTCCCACCACTTACAATAGGTTCCCTAACTCCCGTAAAAGTACATATTGTCTGGGCTTGCCTCTGACAGGCCGTGTGACACATGTACACACACACACACACACACACACACACACACACACAGAGCATATACCATATAAGGTTGCTATGAAGATTCAATAAATGAAAGTATTCAGACAAATCAAGCACATAACAATAATCGGCAGATAGTAACCCTTCTATATTAGCTATTATTCTTATTATCTTCAGTAAAAGTCAGGATAATGGTAGCTACCCCATGGCACTGTTTGGAATAAATTACATAATATGTCCAAAAGTGCTTAATCGCAAGCCTGGCACCAAGTAGCCTTTAACGATAATATTTATTAATGTCTGTGTCTTAGCTCCCATAAGATCACTCCAGTTCCTCCAGTGAGGGATGCCCTCTCTCGCCTCCAGACCTCCATCTATGCTCTTCTTTTTTTCCTACAATCTTTTTCTCTGGGTAATTCCTACTATTTGTTTTTTAAATGTTATTTATTTATATTTCTGAGACAGGGTCTCACTCTGTCAGCCAGCTGGAGTGCAGCGGCAGGATCACAGCTCGCTGTAGCCTCAACCTCCCAGGCTCAGGTGATACTCCCACCTCAGCCTTCTGAGTAGTTGGGACCACAGGTGTGCATCACCACACCCAGCTAATTTTTGTATTTTTTTGTAGTGATAGAGTTTTGCCACATTGCCCTGGCTGGTCTTGAACTCCTAGGCTGGTGATCCACCCACCTTGATCTTCCAAAGTGCTGGGACTACAGGCATGAGCCACCATGCTTGGCCCCTACTAACTCTTTAGATTGCACTTACACATCACTTCCCTGGGAAGTCATCTTTGTCAACAGCTCAAAAGGGTGAAGTGACCCCACTCTGTCTCTTCACTTTCTCTGGCAACCTGTGTTTCCCTAGTTAGGGTGTTTATTTTTCTTTACAGGGATTGCTGATTTTATTGCTTTTCTTCCCTACTTGTTGGTAAGCTTTACCAGAGGAGAAACTTTCCTTTTGCATACCTTGGGGTTCCTGGCATATAATATACATTAAACTAATAATAATAAAATTATCAAACGAGGAGTGGCAAGAGGAAAATCAGGACAATAATTTCTGAAATTCACCTGACAAATATGTTTCAACAAGAGATTATTTAAGAGTGTCACTGTTAGGAGAGAGGTCAAGTAAGCTAAAGACTGAAATGTGCAGTGGATTTGGCCACTAGAAAATGGCTGGTGACTTAAGATAGAGCAATTTAATAGTGTGCTGGAACAGGGAGCAGATTGCAGAGGGAAGAGGAGAGAAAGAGAGATGAGAAATTGGAGTAGCAAGTGTAGACCTCTTTCTCCAAAAGCTTAGCAGTAAAGCAAAAGAAAGTAAGAGGGCAACAGCCAGGGAGCTCCTAGAGATGGCCAGTGCAGGTGTAAGGCTGTCACTCTGGGTTGTGTGCCTGTATGTGTGTCTCTGTGCGCGAGTTTGTGTCTGTGTGTGTTTCTGTATATGCCTGTGTCTGTGTGTCTGTGTAGGTCTATGTCTATCTGTATCTGTGTATGTGTCTGAGTGTCCATGTGTGGTTGTGTGACAATGTGTGTGTGCCTGTGTCTGTATATCTGTGTGTGGGTGGCAGTGTCTGTATGTCTCTCTAGGAATGGTGTGTGTGTGTGTGTGTGTGTGTGTGTGTGTGTGTGTGTGTGTAGAGAGAGAGAGAGAGAGAGAGAGAGAGAAAGACGGAATGTTTAAGGCAGAAGAGATTTGAACATATTTCTATGTTGAGGAGAGTTAGTGAGAAGGGAAGCTGAAAAGGAAAATCTGTGAATACTAAAACCGTGGTTGGAGGAGGGAGCTTCTCAGAGGGTGGAGGTTTCTGTGATTTTTGCCTGTGATGTCTGGAGAAAGATTATTTTGTTACTGTGTTTTATTTTCATCCACACACTTTGGCTATGTATATTATTTCCTGAACTACTGACCTTATCTTTCTCCAGCAAACTGCCTACCCCAGACCAGCCCAATTGCTAAGGATCTGGAGAAACTATGTTACATTTCATTGCAGTGAAAATATTTGAGTGTCATAAAGACAACAAATTGCTCTTTCTGTGTTTGCTTTATAACATATCTTATAAACAGCCTGAGAGAAAAGTGAACAAGTGATACATTTACTCATTGACAGTGTAAGTACACTCCAGATATACTATACATAAATTTAAAATGGCTAAATTAAAAATGTCTGGGATAATAATGTTGAAATCTATGCATCTGGTTTTGAAACTTTTGTTATTTGTTCATTTAAAAGGACACTGGTAGTATTCAGCAGGAGATGTTAAATTTACTTATTACAAAGAATAAGTAAAGAGCCACTGTTGGTAGTGTCGTTGCAGGATTTGTCACTGTCTAAATCCCTCAGCGACACGGAGACTTACTGAAAGAGTTTATATTTGATGGAACACTGTAAAGAGGGAAAACTTCAGAGCAATATTTTTAGAAAATAATATTTCTTTCCTTCTTTTGTTTTTTTGAGACAGTCTTGCTCTGTCACCCAGGCTGAAGTGTAGTGGCACAATCTCGGCTTACTGCAACCTCCACCTGCTGGGTTCAAACAATTCTCCTGCTTCAGCCTCCCTAGTAGCTGGGATTACAGGTGCATGACATCACACACTGCTAATTTTTTTTGTATTTTTAGTACAGAC